ATATAATAAAAAAAAAATGTGATGATAAGGCGGATGAGTAAGTTAAATATTGCAAGCCGTCAAGCACTATGACCCAATTAATTTACTATCCCATTCATAGAATTATGTGACCTTTCAAATTATATCCGCTATCGTTTCTAATACCGTAATTCAAGCTCAATTGCACATTATTTTCAAAAAATAAATTTCTTGTCTCCACTTCTGTTCGCAATAATCGAAGTTTTCAGAAAATTCAGAGCACTATTTTTCACTCGCGGCGGTTATTCGTCGGTCATGGTCGGGTGATCACTATGAATTCAGCTTAACTTGATATGTTAGAATACAATATAGCATTTAGAGTGGCGATGAAACGTCACAGCAGTGGGCGTTACCCTGTATGGTTGGAAATTTCGGGTTTGTAAGTGCACTAGTTGGGACTACGTCCCAACTAAAAAAGTGATAAGAAACCTAGGAATATTTGTTGAAAAAGCTTTTAAGCAAAGAAATTCTATCATTTAATTATTTGTTAAAAATTATAATTTTATTTGTTAATACTCATGTAGTCATTAATATAATTTAGTGTCTAAGTATACTGTTAAGTAAAATGTCTTTTTTCTATAAACTATGCATACTATATTAATTTAAGTGATATATATTCTTTCAAAAGATGAATATATTTTAGGGTTACTTTTGATACTTTATAAATTTTCTTTTGTCTCTATGGCGAAAGAGCTATGACACATGAATAATGTTAAAAATACATTGTGTAGTATGCATATTTATTTAATTGTATGCGATGTGCTCATTTTGTTGAAATATCTCATCTTAAATAAACGTATATATGTAAAACGAACATATTAATGACAAAAAGCCATTTTGAACATTATTGTTTATTTATAACATATTATCAGTCTTGCAGTTTCTTTTCGGTAAGGCCGATATATTTATGTTTATATATAACCATTACAAATGAATTAAATATGCATCAATTATATTCTATGTTTCTTGTCTTAGAATGTGGCAAGAATCGTGGATTTATTCAGTACATATATGTATATAACCTATTATTTGATGAATGTATATAATTTCACATAGGTTTAAAACTTTAAAGATTTCTCAAATATATATGTTTTGAATTACATTCATATCAAATGGTACTATACATATATATGTAAGTTAAACACAACATTAATGTATTTGTACTTGAAGAGTTTGTCGTTATGATCTTCTCCGATATTATCATCATGCTATGTTATGTATTTCATATGTATATGCACTGTTCGTTGTCTAGTATTATGCTATTATCATGTCATCGTGGGCTTTAAAGCCTAATATGATTGAAATAAAACTATCTATCTATCTATATTCAACTTAAACACACTGATAATCATTATTCAAACGTGCTGTCCGAAATATGCGCTGTCCGAAATTTCTCTACATTACACTTCTGCCGCGCTGTGGAATATCGAAAAAGTCTGAAGGCAGATGCGAATGAAATTGTGTCAAATACACAAATTTATCAGATTTACATGGAAATGGAAATATTACAACATTCATTGAGGTAAACTGAATTAGAATGAAGATTACTGTATACGAAGTGACTTTTAATTCATTGATTCTTGTTCACAAGATAAAACCATTTGCATTTCGTTACAAAACAAAAAAACGTTGTCAATTTCCACATCATTCGGTTTTCCGTGTAAGTTTTACTTTCTCACCGGCATACAAGTATTACCCAATCTAGATTAGCAATGTTGTTCATATTTGTTTGTACCAAGAAGTGCAAAGTATCGTAAAGTCACATGACGTGACTTACATACCCTATTACAAATAAGAGATCAAAATATTCAGAAATATTACTTAGCGTACTGCGTTTGTAACGTAGTACAAAATATCAATATATAAATACTGAAAAAGCAGCCATTAAACGCACATAACATGTAAATAATTACGTGAGGCTTTAATATTTTACTTTTCCTAAAATCTTAGTACATTTGTCTCATGTTTGATTTTATTGAAATATCTCATATACAGGCATGCAGCTTTAAATAAGAACGATATTTAATACTCTTATGCGGATCCAGAGGAAACGTTTTTATTGTTCTGGTGAATTCCTCCGATAAACAAAAATACTTTATATAAAACACACAATGCAAATTTGGTGTTCCGTCCATTATCAATGATTTGGCATGTATGTTCACCATAATAAGACAATGTGCCATATATAACAAGACCCATAGGTCAGCATAGTCTAATTGAGGGTAAGTTTTTGCATCCGTGTGATTATTACGCTACACCGGTCTAAAAATGTATCCATCAAGGGATTTTGAAATTAGGTACAAATGTTCACCGTCATAAGAGGACAGCTAACGGGCAACATCCAGACACCTACCCTCATTGTAAATGTCACAAGATATCACTGACTGATAGAGGGTTTATTTCGTGTCCGGTCCATCAATCGAAATATCTTTGAAATAATTTTGCACAAATATTAAGCATATTAAGGCAACGGGGTCTTTATTTTCTTTCTCCGTAAAATTACTCAAAAGGTATTAGAGACGTTCTAACGAAACTTTAAATGTTATTAGGTTACAGTATAACAGTTAAAGTGAGTGCACGGCAAAGGGACTATTTCTCCATCTTAAATATATTATCAAAATTATCTCCCATTATCATTTTAAATTAATGTATTTGTTTTGAGTGATATAAATTGCTTAAATGTATTTCTATTGACACATAGAACTGTATAAAAATAGTTATGTAATATATTTCTATAATAATTTATAGATACATGTGCAGATCATTTTCACTAAAAGTCCAGATCCTTACTTTAAACGAAATAATACTATTGTGTGCTACATGCAAATTCTTGTTTTAAATTTGTTTTCAATGAATGGATCGAATCGCAGTCATATTTAAAATGAATATTTTATCAATTAAATCACTGCAGTTTAGTTTGTTTGGGAAATGTTGGATTAGTTACATTTATAACACTGCATGTTTGTTACGTCACTTTTCATCTCATTTTTGCTCAAAAAAAGGAAGTTTGTGGTATTATAAATTCAATATTAATATTCCTGATAGGTTATATGACCGTATTTTAAACGGTTGTTTGCAATATCACCCTCGCCTAGCAGTTTGTGTTATATTTTCAAACAGCCGTTTATATAGGGCCATATAAACTGTCAAAAAAACTTTATAACTAATACTATACACGACCACCTGAGATGGTTATAAAACACTACTTGATCAAATACATTTCATAATTACTTCCCTTTAACAGTTGATATCAGCAAAATACGATGAATAAATACAATTTAATACAGTAATGTTCTTTCTGTTTATACTAAATATCGTGCATTTATTGCTGTAAAACCGCAATCTACCATATCAAAATGTCATGGGAAAAGAACAAACAAAATCCATCTATTTGAATACAAATGTATATAAGTAACAAACATAACATAAAATAGATAGACATATTTCTAAAATCTATTTCGGCACATAATATAACAGACCATTTGTTTTAAGTCAAAACGTTTTAAAGATCCTGTAAGACAACTTTTTAAGGTTTTATTTCATAAATATGATGCTCAAATTAAGATTTGTCAATATTGTAAGTTCCAATAAGCATTATTTATAGAGATATTACCGAATTTTACATTACATGTAAATAAAGGGAGGTAATAAGTAATTTAATTTATTTTCTATAAATTCTAAGTCAAATTTTCCAATAAGAAATGAATGCATATAATTTATTGATTAAATATATGTGCACAAATATTTGCAGTACACATTTTACATATTCTTCGATGTTTGAAAATTGTTCTACTTGCATAATTATATACAAATATAACTCTTTGCAAGTGTGGTATACACACAGTAACAATATCATTCACAAAACATACAGGATCTTTACAGTTACATTAATATAGTGCAACATATTTATATAACTATACAAAATTTACATGGCATGGTATTAGGTTGTAAATTGGTAAACACGTCAAAATAAAAGTGACTTGTTACTAGTTATATTACTAAATATATAATTATATTATATAAAACTGTTAAAAGGCAATATTCTTTTATCGGCTTCTCAACCCGGGGATGGTGATTTAGAACACAGTATAGGTCATTTGGCGACGTTCCAGCTTTACTGGTGGAGGAAGACTTCAGGTGACCCTCCGTGCATTTTTTCAGGCATGAACGGGCACAACAAAATATTGAATAAATAAACTCACACTCACACTAAAGTCTTCAGTAATTTCATATTATAAACAAAACTGATAACATGTGACCAATACATCTTCATAAAATTAAAATCAGAAATCTTAATGCACCTATCCCTACAAATGTTTATTTTGTATTCAATGAACATGACAACATGTTTTATTCTTCAAACTCAAGTACTTTTAATGTAGTTGACCCGTACGTTATCACAATGAGCGTGTTTTTATGTTTATTGTAGCACATGTTTAAAGGCTTCTTTAAACCACAGTTTGCCGCTACTAACTCTCCTTTACAGTTCCCATCTTTGTTGAACATCACAACATTGTGGGAATAGTATCCGCATACAAACACGGTACCATCATCAGCTACACATACACCTTTAGAATTCTTCAATCTACTATCACGCAGTTCCCTCATCACTGTACCATCTTTATTAAGACATACAGCACCATCAGACCAATCTGTAACGATCACCTTATCACCAGTGACAGACATATGTTGGGTACTGGACTTAAATATCCTGTTACCATCGTGATTTTTATCAAGAGATTTGATCAAAGTACCTGCAGTATTATATATGTTAATACCACCACCAGTAGATACCCAAAGTCCACCATCACAATATGTCAATCCATAATAAATCCCGCCTGATATTGAAAAGCATCTGGTTTTAGACAGAGATGATTCAACAGATACAAACTGGACTGTGTTATTGGTCATTTTAATTGCAACTTCATTGCTGCTGATACAACATATACCAGTGGGACCGGCATCTAATTCGCAACTGTCTTTGACGTTGTAGTTAAGGTCAAGCATTTTAACATTCCTGTTTGTTTGATCCGTTAGCACGATTCTTCCGTCTGATAGTTGACATATATCAGAGATATTACATGCACTTTTATCATTGTTAAGTTTTACATTGATATCTTTCATTGCCTTCAGTTTGTATTGCTTTGGTTTTGTCAGTTGCTTGCCTTCTTGAACAAGACCAAACGAATCAACTGATGAAACAAATTCTGCTAATGCATTATTAGCTGTAAAACTGATTGAACATATTCCTTTAGAATCGGTTTGTGTATTTAATTCTCTGGCATTTGTAATAGTCTTCTTTGTCAGTTTAATGTGAATGAATTGCTGCTCTGGATTAAGACTATCAATTGATTTCAGGTGTTGTAAACCCTCCTTCAAAGACTCAATCATATTAGATGATGTGCTAATTTCAGACTCAAGTCCTAATTTCATCATGTCATACTTTTTGGTTACAGATTGCTTTGCCTCTTGTTTCAATTTTCTGATGTGATGTATCATCTTTTCCTCAATATCATCTAATGTCCTGTCTATGTTGATCCTTTCCTCCTCAAGTGAAGCCAAATTGTGCTTTTGTTTCTCTGTGGCACTTATTAAGGTTTCCTTAGCTGTCGCTATTTCACCAGATATGTGATTAATCTCGGTCTGATTTACACTGGACGTTAACTTGGATTCAATTTTGTCTACCTGTTCACAAACTCTGAAATTATAATGATTTAATGATTATTAATTATTTCTTTTAATGATACATTTCATGCATCAGCATACAAAAGTGTGTCTGTATACTATACACCAGGACTTCGAGTTCTCTTGATTGTATCAATCACACAAGGGTTTTCTCGATTTTATATTATGTATTTAGAGAGAGTGGTAAAAATAACTCCTTGTGGTCAATCCATAAAAGCTGCTTAATGTTGAAAATATGTTGAAGATATTTGTTTGTTTTAAGTGAATATGCGATATATCTCACTGAAAAGTGTATAAACTGTATTTTTTAGTTAATGTGCTATATGAACATATATATAAATGTATATTCACGTTCCGCACACACTTGTTTTTATTGTAAAGAAAATTCAGCGCTCTCAGACGGTTTTATATTAAAATACGCTCGTGAATATCATAGTGCAAACCGTTCAGCGGCTACAAGAAACAACACTACATGCACACAAAGTATATGCGAGATTTTGATCATCATTTTGTGTAACAATTAAATATTTCTAAGTGAAATAGTGATATTTTAATATTTGCCATACAAAAAACAGCCAATACAGGTAGTACTATGTACAATTATCAATCATACAAGTGTTTCAGTACAAAAATGTTCAGCATCATTGTCTTTCACGGAAAATCCAGTTTTTCACTGGTAAGCGTAAAATAAAAACTGATAAATGAGTCCTTAATGAGTCGTGAAATATTATCTCGACAATACAGTTTATCGCGAAAATAAATAACAATACAATAAAATTTCTGACAGGTTATATGGCGCTTAATAAACGACTATATTACAAACAAATGTATACATACGACATTTAGTCACGTCCTAAACATCTATGTTCTTTATACATGACCAGGTTACTTACAAACCTGTACTTGATAACGTCTTCTTACTTGTAATATTCTTAATAATCATATTCTTACATGATTATGTCCCTTACAAACATGTACTTGATCATATCATTTACATTTATGTTCCTACTTGAAATATCCTATACTTCCATGTTCCTATTTGGTCACCTCCCTTATAAACATGTACATGTACCTAATCATGTCCTGTATATGCATGTTCTCACATTATACAATAAATTACATCCTATATATCCATGTTTTTACTTAAACTTATCCAGAACATGACTAGGGCATACTATATACAATCATGAATGTCCCATACAGATGGAAATATTATATATGTACTATAATATGTGAATTTTAATTCTCCATTTCAATGGTGTAATTATAACGATTTTACTTGTAATTATGATATTAACATATACAAAGTCTCTTATAACTCTGTAGAGAGTGACAATGTGTCTTCTTTTTAATTATGCTTTTTATGTATGATATGTTGTATATACTGTATCACATTGATGAGACTATAATAAAGAATAAAATAAAATAAATACGACTATATGACCTTTTCTAGAAATAATAATTACGGATTTAAATTACAAAGTGCAGTATTATAAAACTTGATATCAAACAAGAGCCACCGACGAGCGGGAGCAACGCTTGACTTTTTTACTTTTCCTAAATGCAAAATAATAAAAGGTTTACACTAACCTTTTAAAAGAAAAAAACAAAAAAATCGTTGTTCCATTTTTAATTAAATTAAGTCGATCTAGTATGTCCAAGTATGAATCATTTCCATAAATAAACAACAAAGTTAAGAAAATATTAGCACATTCTATCATTTGACAATGACGGTGAAGAACAAGGTCAAGACACATTAAAATTATTCAGCATGACTGTCTTGTCACAAGCGATGTTTTGTCCACGTATGAATTAAATCCGTAAATAAATAAATAAACATTATAACAACTTTCGAAATTCAATAATTTGTCTTTGACGGTAAATGTAATTTAAAGCTCAAAGCCAAGGTCAGTTAAATATTTTAGAAGGACATGACGAAAGGGTTATTTTGCCAAAAGTAAGAAGAAAATGCATATCTTAATTACAAGGTTACAGTCAATTATAGAAGAATTTCAATAATTTGACTTTGACGGTCATGGTCATTTTAAGCTCAAAGAGAAAGTCAGTAAAATATATTAGAAGGACATGACGTAAGGGTTATTTTGCCCGAGTATGAAGATAATACATTTCTTAACTACAAAGTAACAGCCAATTACTAGTATAGCAGAATTTAGTAAATTTAGAAGTAAATCCATTTATAAATAAATTTATAGTCAGTCAAGATCACATCTTAACTATTCAATATGCTTGTCAATATATAAATCTTATCCGTACGGACATATCGAAATTATGACAATTTGAACAAAATTCATTTTATAAACTCAAGTCCAAAGTCATTAATAAGTAAAGATCAATTTTAGTTTGATCGCATCCTAAACATTGTTGTATTTAAATATAAATTTAATCCATTCATTAATAAATAAGCGACAGTTATAGTCTGATTTTATTGACCTGTCAATTATGAATACATTATAGTACTCAACTAAAAATTCGATACCACTTCGGTTCTGTTCGTATAGATTCAAGAATTAATTTGGAGTATATGACTAATGTTTTGAAAAGGCACACTATCTGAATGTTTATGTTCTGGTTATATCCGCAATAGCACAGTCGGTTGAGTGATTACCTCATATATTAGAGGTCTATGGTTCGATTCATACATTTGCAATTGATTTTAGACCCATTATTTATTTTTGAGAATAGGGCTTGCAAAATAGTCTAAACGGATATGGAACAATTTAGAAACACAGATTTGTTTGTTTTGTATTAAATTTTATGGCATTGAAATGAAATTTATTTATTTATTTAAATTTTAATTCTTAAACAATGCTATTTAAAAAAGTATATTGTCTTTGCCACAATAAGTGCAAAACATATTAAAAAAAAAACAACCATCCCTCCAATAATGTGGAAAATATAAATAAGAAAAAAGCATAGACAAACGCGGTCTAGATCTAACAACAGGTGGGACATTTTGAAGTTATAAACCGGTAGTTTACCATATTGCGCTATAACGGTCCGTATAACTATTTCATAGAAACTATTAAATTCAATCAATTCTTACTGAGTACATCTCACGAATTTTTACGATCATTTATCAAAGATTAATATATTGTGTGCATTGACCGTGTAATCAGTATGCAATTGACAGGTTAATAAAATCACAAAATAGAATAAACCATAAATATGAAGTAACGCCACGAAAGCATGCAGCCAAAATTTTAAATGTAATAATATTTAGGCACAAATCTTTTTTTTTTTTCATTCTAAGTTAAAATACCCTAAATTGCTTAAACTATTCAATGTTAACACAAACCATTTCAATTTTTATATTGTGTGATTTTAATACATTTATGATTGAAAAAAATATTTACTTATTACATATCTTAACATTATTTTTGTAAACATTTTTTTGCCATTACCTGACAAGAATTATATTGTAGTGTGTGATATCATGATCATGTGACGTGATTATTCATGTACAAGTGTAAAACATATGTTCTGTTTTGTCTGTTCTGTAAAATTTGAGTTGATTGAGTATAACTGCTGGGGAGATAATAACCGGAAATGAAAAAAATAATATTTTCTTCAAAGTTCAAGAGAGGTTTCTCTGTCAAAAATCATCAAACCATGACCAAATTCAAACTTGACCTGTGTATTCCTATGTCATATCCATATATTTAATTTTAGTTAAAATGCGTGCAACTGTTGTGAATGTGTACAAGTGTTGGAGAGATATTGAAAGGAAACTGAAAATTTCTTATTAATTTCCAACATGACAAAGTTAAAGGGGGCATAAATCATCAAACAATGATCAAATTCAAACTCGACACGAGCATTCTTGACGTATCTTTAGTACAAATGTTTTCAAGAGAGATAATGAAATGAACGGAAACTGAATATGTCTTTAAGGGGCATCGCTCTGTCAAAATAACGACTGGGAATAAATGTGAGAGACAAGCGTGATAGATATGTTGACGGTGAAAGCGGCTCTAGAATGGTCGAGTTGATGACCAAATTAAAATTTTACCTGCATTTTTCTGTGATTTATTCATATGTCAAATATGAGTTGAATGCGTACAACTGTTGCCAAGATAATGAACGGAAAGTGGTGATGACGGACATGACTATAACAATAACCTTTTTCTTGGAAAAGAAGTCGAGCTAAAAATACCCGAGTTCTATGATTTAAAAAAAACCTCTTAATAGATATATACTAAGCGTCAAAGCTGCTGAAGTTAAAAAAACACTAAACACCAAATAACAGATTCATAATAATTTGTGTCAAGTTCAACCACGACTGTGGGAGGTTATACCAGATTCGTACTTTACGTTCTTTATATAAAAGAAGACTCTGCTACTTAAAAAAGAACCTTAAAAATCTCAATGATCTCATCAAGCCAAACTATCCACTCCTTTCTTAATCTGCACATTTCTAGAGCCGCTTTCACCGTCAACATATCTGTCACGTTTGTTTCTCACATGTATTCCCAGTCGTTAGTCATAGATGATTTCCGTCTTATTTACTTAAGTTTTTGTCAGCTAATTTTAAGCCTAAAAATATGAAATTCGTATGTTCACAAATTTTAGTAAAACACCTTTCTATCAATAGATCCGCCGTAAGTTAAACATACAAACCCTAATCGAAAGTACGTTAGCAAATCCGTAATAAATCTTTATTATAATTAAATTAGTTACCTATGATCTGTTGCTATGCACATGGCGCAATAAACCATATCATGTTTTCTGCAAAACATCTCTATATCTCGGTCCGGATGATAGAGGCATTTGGTTTTAACAACAGCAAGACTGTGTTTGGCATCTTTTTTATCAACCAACTTGTGTGTTTTTGTTGCCTTTTGCCACGTATGCTGACTTGTACATCTTGTACAGAGATACTCTTCACACTCATGACAATATTTTACAGCTTCTTCATTGATATTGCCCTCGCCGCAAGGTGTGCAAGAGTTTTCAGCACAGACATCAGAGCCATCTGTAAACGACGGAAAGGAACTCCCTTCGGCCATTCTGCAATATAACAAGTTGTTCATATGTATATGTTATAATTTGTAGCCACTGTCACACAAATAACATTTGAAAATGCTTCCTTCCGTAAATTTAAAGAATAATTTAAAATTTATCTATTTACAGGCTCTCCTGAACAATATATGTCACGGAAATAATATGTAACACGAATGAAATATCATGTGCTTGAAACTGATATTGTACACAAAATGTGACATATACAAGCGGGTTTTATATGTACACATTGTGCAGACTCAGTTAATGATAATAATAATAATTACATTGTATTATTGTATTACATTTATACATTGCAATGTTGATGAATTCTTTGAGAGTTATTTCAATTTGTTATTTATTGAATTAAGTTCAGAAACATTCGCCCCCAATATTTATGATAATTAAACATTCACTTTTAGTTTATTTTTATTTTTATTTAACTAAATCCATAAAAGTCAGCTAAATAAATGGTCATAATTAAAATATGGAAATATATTGACTTGTTGTAATGACGGTTGCAATAATGATATTGTTGTTGATGACGATGATAATAATAGAAATAATAATAATAATATTAATAATAGAAATAATAATAATCATAATAATAATAATAATAATTATGATCATCATCATTATTATTATTTTGGTATGTTTATTGATCGGATGGTGATGAAAATGATGTAGGTCGTAGTACTACTGCTCCCTTGTTAAATGTAAGACGTGTAAATAAAGAAATATTTATGTTAACGATGGTGTTGTGATGAAAAGATGTTTGTTTATTGTGATAATAAGTATGTGGCTGATGTTTAAAATGATGATGGCGATGAGTACAGGTACGTTGAGTGTAACAAAGATGATGAAAATGACCATAATGATGTTTCTCATAATGATGATATTCGCCTTAATAATTGAAATAATTATTTTCTTGAATATCATGATGATATTGATGATGATATGTATGTCGGACCGTTGACTGAGATAATGATAACTGTGATAATGATGTTGATAATGGTTAGTAAACGTTTGCTCCTTGTGTAGATTATGATCGTTTTTCAACGAGCTAAAGCATGTTCTATATGGATTTTTGATGATGGTGATAATCACGGTTTATGATTTGTGCATTTTTTCATTACGTTACATAATACCTTATGTGACTTATACGTTGATTTTTTATCTGTCTTATGAGCAGACCAAATGTCACATAAAGCGCTCGAATATATCACATACGTGCTACATATTCGATCCCGCTAACCTAATTGTGTAATCTGATGAAATGTGTTAACAGATTTATCAAATGACATTTGAGTTACATTATATTTTTTATATCATGATAACCACTAATTAAATAAGATATATACACAAGTAAAATATAACATAAAAATAATGAAATACAACACTTTCACATTACATTTTATTGATTATTATATAGAATAAATATCAATTTATTTTGTTTCAAACATTGTTTTTTTTTAAATCATCAAATGAACCATCTATACAACGTTACTAGCGTATCAAATGATAATTCAGCAATCGAACATACTTAAGATTGGCATTTATTTAAAACAATGTAAAGATTACATATTTACGCAGTTTATATGTGATGGTATAACAAGAAAGAAGTAAATACTGCCATCAAAATAGTTGTTGTATATACAATCTACCGGTGCGATCACTACCTTGATAAATGCATTAAAGCTGCATGTATCCAGATGAGCCAACATATTTCATTTGAAACATTCATTTTTTCAGTCTTTTTTATTAAAATATTTTAATGCGTTATTGACGCAGTAAAGGCTATTTTTTAATATTTTGACCTCATGTTGGTAAATTTACATGGGTTGTGAGTGCTGTTTGTAATGGTTAATTGCTTCCTGTTGGTTACTTATAATGCACGATGTATTTTTGTTTAGATATATTTTTTTCATTACAATTATCATGAATCTGAAAGCGTGATGCTTTAAAGATTCAACTTCTTTGCCCGACGATAAAAAAGGACATATTCTAAACTTAGCAATAGAACATACAAAACAGTTGAGATTAAAAATGAATGAAATGCGTTTTTTAACATAGGCGATTCCAATACCGATGGGAAGTACTATTTTTCTGTTATATCAATAGTACATAATTAATTTTATACCGCCTAGTAGTATATAGGTATGATGATCTCCCGACACACAGGACGTTGTTGGTTCGAGTTTTAGACCGATCATTTTTGGCTGAAGCAACCTACATAAAAACATAATATAAAATGCTGAATATATAAATTTGTTTCTTATATTTCTTGTGTTCGCTTAATAGATACGCTCTCCATAAGTATTTCAATAAAAATTGACGTCCAGACAACCTAACACTATTCTTGGTTCTTTTAAAGGATTGTCCTGTTCTTTGCAAGTATCTGGAAACTTCTCCAGATAATTCAGAGGCGGGGCAATTGATTGTATACAATATGTATATAATCATAATAACGCACACGCACCTAGCCAATGGATATATTTAACAAACATTTAATTAACTGATTATTAACCTATGAGCTTAGCAGGTGTTATTGCGGGGCTGAATTTGTTTCTTTAAAATGGTCAAGGAAAAGTTCATAACGGCGGTAAAGTTCATTTCTAATAAAATATCACCAAAGTATAAACTATGTTTAAACTGTTTTATCTTTAAAAGAGGTTAAGACATTTATCGAAAACGTATGCAGCGTACAAAAATATAATTTGGTATGTATGTCGCATTCCTAAACAAGGTTCATACACGTAGCTGAGCTTCCTATAGGCCATGCTATCATCGGCCTACACATACATGTTTCCAAAATATTGACAACGCAAAAAAAATCATGGGGCTTGAAATCGGCCTACTCACAAGTTAAGATCAAGATACGTCCCTGAAATACAATTTATCTTGACTGTTTGTGTTCTCTCTACATTAGCCCATTCTATCGTTTACTTAATAACAACTTATTTACTTTTCACGGTCATGTTGCGACTTGTTTATCTACTAGTGTATCCAAGATAAAGATCGATTTAAACATATTTTTAATAACCTGGCTACTTTAGGCATTATGAAAATTGTATGGTCAACATTTACGAAATAGCAACATATTTAATGTCAGTTCTTCTGATTATTAATTATGTCAAGTATTAACCGATGTGGTAAAAATCAATATCATAAATTTAAACAATGCTTTTTTAAAGTTATTATGAAAAGAAATAGTTATTTTAATGGCTGTAAAACATTGTTCAAAACATAACAACTTCTGCTGCTATAAAGTTCAGCTTGAAATATCTTACCTTATTTAACTCTTAAGTAAAACTCCATAAAAGAAACATGAATCTTTTAACAAATTTGATCCTACTTTCGTTTTCGTTTACCCGGTGTCTCGTGTAATTTCTAATCGTAACATTCACATATTCATTCTAGTATGAAAATGCGGCTTTGTACTGCAAAATGTATACACGTGTAGAAGAAGTGTAAATTAAAGTCAAGACAAGTTATTATTTAAGCTGGTACATTGCTGCCTATTGATGTTTACCATCCATTTATTTAATATAAAACTATTCTATTATAAATTTGATTTGATGTAATTGATATCTTTTTATTCTTAATGATTTAATTTATAACTGCATTAATTATCAATCAAACAGACTAAATTTAAATGTCAAAAAACTAAACAAAAACAACAACATGTCGGATACTAGACAAGCATCCCGCATCATATAGGTCACCAACATAATTATCAATTACATGTAACATTCAAATTGTACTAGACTGTTGCGTTTGACACGATCGTTGGCTTGATTAAGCTTGATTCAGCTTGTTTCCGTTTCTTTTGGTAAACAATAAAATGTATGGTTAAACATTTCAAACAACGCCATGGTTCATGTTTAGAAATTCGTGATATATCATGGCTCTAACGAGACAATTTATTGCAATACTGGTAGTAACATAGATTTCCTTTGAAGTTCACACTACGACTCAGAATTTAACTTAGAAATGTCTGTTAGAATATGCGTGCAATATCATTATTACAACTGCATTAATTCTAGTCTTATTTAAAAAAGCCATGAAAATGATGTTTTCTATCAATACATTTTGAGTATGAATGGCGAAGGGGTCCGTGTCATCTCTTCAGGAATCTGTCAACACCGCAGTCGTAAAAACGGTGTATTTAAATTACCATCAGCACAAACAGTTATTTTCTTCCTCAATCTATTTGTAAACACGTGAAAGCACTGGAAAGTTATTGATGACACGTGCATCACTTTACGTGCATCGTAATTGCACATTATTGTCACTCCCATTCTGAAAAACTTCATAAAAAATGTACTATGTAATAAACATATAATGTCCTGTCAGCTTTACACATTTTTATGAACCGATTTTAAAAGCAAATGATTTTTTTCTTTCCATGTATAAGAAAGTTTTGATAAACGGTAAACGGAACAAAATCAAAATTTGTAATTTATTGCAGAAAATAAAATGATGAAAATTCTTCGACGCTGACTCGGTGTTTCTAAATATAACACAACGGTACGTCATCACAAACACATGGTCGGTCACATAACCCATCCACATGGATGCCGGAGACAGCGGCTAATCAAGCACAATAGTCTATTTTTATAATTTTAACTTTTTTTTTGTTTTAAAGATTAACCTGACCTGTAGTAAAAACGCGAGATACGCCGCTATGTTTGTTTAGGTGCTGTGTGAGCATGTGTCACATGACCTCTGTTAATTTACATATTATAATGATGAACCATACACTTAAATACGGAATTGTTTTGTTATTCATTTGAAGACCATCTTTAACACATGCAAAACTATTATCTTTTTCTTCTATTAAACGATATATGAAATGTTACAGGATTTTTAAAGTAACGACCACTTTATTATCTATAGCTATTTTTTAATAAGGTTGTAAAGTTACTACTCTACAAATGGTAAAAACAATAGAAGATATACAGAAAGCTAAGAGGCAGAGATTTAAAGATAAGAATCACGAGGCCTTCTTGTGACCTTCTTGAAATAGATCGAGAAAAACATTCTATAATAAATATATGTACCAATAAATTGATCTCTACAACGGTAGGATACAACAAGGAGCAGATTTTGTCGAATAATCGAGCACTAGTGGATAATGTAAGTCAGTTAAACAATCAGAACAGAGTGAGACTGATGGTCAGAATTTACTGTCCAAACAGTTTAAATATACAAAGAATAGCAATATTAAAAAAGCTGTTTCTACGATACCGAGTAGATATTATGGTCCAGTTACAGTAACAACTGACTGAGCTTAGTAATATACGTATTTGATTGACAGCTATCAAATACTTTACTGTATCTTTCGTGATAAACTCTTATCTGATTTCATTTAAAATGAGAAAAATGCCTACTTTGTTTCCAGAAATTAGTGTTACATTGGAGAGGTCTTTTTTACAGCAGGCATTATTTCTGCTCGACAATCAAACATTTGACCAGTTAATACTATTTTAGAAAAACTGACGTTAACTTGTTTCCGCAGAATATTTTCACGTAACTTTATATTCGATTAATTAGTTGATCTAGCTTACTTTTTTACTAAAACAGTGTGGCAATACCACGTGACATGGACGTCATTTTCGGCACCATTTCCAAGACAAATATTGCTCGATTCGAAAAGGAAAATAGCCGTAAGTATTTTATTTCTGCATCGATTTCTTTGGGATATGCACCATTCTTCGGAGAAAATAATAAGCTTGCCATAGAATAGTGTTTTTCGTTCAGTATATGAGCCGTTTTATCAAACACTTTGTATAACCTTGAACGTTGCATGTATACGAGCGGACTTCAGTTGCAAGCTATTTCGTTTTCTTGTATTACCTGACCTACGCCATGATTTAAAAGTCGTGATTACATAAACCGGGAGTACGGAAGCCAAAGTCCTACTTAAATATGTTTATATTGCAATTATTTATGGCGTAAATCTTTTTCTACAATTGACAATAATGGCACCAGTTCCAAGCCATAAATTTGGACAACAGCTTAAAGCAGTTTTCAGAATTGGTTACAAATGTGAGGAAACATGAATTCCGTTCTCTTTCTATAATAACGACTATTCTTAGAAAAGTCTGTTATTTGGGAAACAAATTATTCATTGCCATTGTAATAACGCAGGCAGCTTCGTTACGTCATGTTCTTTAAACGATTGTGTCAAATGGTAAAAGAATGCAATCAATAAATGGGGGATGGACTCTCTCACTAATGTTCTTAAACATATTGTTGCACAAATATATAGTTTGTTCCATTTGCTTGTTTTAATTTTGCGTTATTTTTTTTTTGTTTTCCTAGGAATGAGTTATGTATGCGCGGTAACCCAACCATTTGGCTTTAATGGACGTTTTCGGGGGTTTTCATACAGATATATAGGCAAAATCAAAACTGAGTTTCTTTAAACTTGTCACGCGGTTAGAATTAGTTCTGGCTTCCAAAACTTTATAAGCCGCTCTTTAACATTTTTGTTTTTCATCTGATGCGGCATTAAAGTTTTGGATTAGACCCGTTACGAAACCTAACCAGAATAACATTAGTTGATTTATTCTTGTTTTTCACTTACAAATACACTTGACCGAATCAATTCTTGTGCATTTTACGATAAAACAATTATTTTAGTATCATTCTATACCAAATAAAGTATCAACATATTAATACCGTCATTAAAATTGCCGATTTAACTGTAAAACATCAATTTACGCCGACTACAGTCGGCCATGACATTCAGGTGCCACGCGAGACCTCGTATGACGTCATTCGCGGGAACAGATTTGAATAGAGTCGTGTACTATATTTAGAACATTTTGTTGACATGATTTCAATATTTTTATTCAAGATAATGTTTTTATTTATTTTCTTTAATTTTTCAGTACTTAAATATGATTTTATTGAATATAAAAGTCAGTAAATCACCTTTTTCAATATCTTTAAAAAAAAGTAATGTAATACAGTATAAAAATATTGGAGGCACATGGGTTCATAAAGGTCAATCTCGTAATCACGTGGTCAAACATTTTGGCAATATGGCGGCCAAGTGCCGAAATTTTTACCTGCCTGAAACTATTAGGTAGTTTATGTTCTTAATAAGATTTTGATTTGTCCATCCTTGGCTTATCAACAGATTATATATAGTTTTTTCAAGGTATGCTTTACTTTACTTCATGGCATGTTCGATGAATAAATACGAGCGTGTCAGATTTCTGGCACGATTATTGGTGGACTTTCCCTACGGGGTTATCTTCAGCGTTCACGTCATGTCATAGTATATAAACGGGTACGCTGAAGACCTTAAGCTAGGTTAGAATATGATAACAGAAACATTTTAAGCGGAAAGGAGGACCCTCATAAATAAAATCGTGCGCATAAAATGTCAAGGATTTAAAAAGATATTATTTAGTGAAGTAATTTAAATACACCAATATGTATATAACTTTAATATGTATGCCACCAGTTCCAACTCGAACAATTCAGACTACAGGTTAAGGCGGTTTTCAGAATTGGTTGCAAATGTGAAGCAACATGCCTTTCGTTTTCTGTCTATAATTATGTTTACCAATAAAAACATTTTATTATACGACGTAATGTATATCAAGGTAGAACGCGACACTTTGCGAACTTTTGAGTAGCGTCTTGAAAATTGGCAAGCAAAAAGTTGACCATATTTCTGATTAGGTTCCGTTGATTTTATTTCAATAGTTTCAGCCAATTTTTGAACACATGGCGTCAAAGTTGACTATCAAAGCCCGTTTTTAAACATGACGTCGTTGCGTATCCTTGGCAACTGTTACGGGTATTTCAACGCCATTGGCGGACAAAATATCTTAAATTCTACAGCATTCGACGGAAATTATTTTTTCCTTTAAGCTGATATAAAATTTATTGTTTTACGCCGAAAAAGGTTTGAAAAATGGAAAGAAAAGTGTCAATTTTGTGTAAAATTTGACGTCAGTTTAGCTACAATTTTCGGCTTTAAAGTGGCTTAAAAAAAATCCTGAAATGAATTTTTGATTTTTTTCATTTAAACGTCCTACAAAATGTATACTTAGTCAAAATATCTAAAAAAATTAGGGGGTCACCGACTCAATTTTTTCGGTACATGTGATTTTATTTCCCCTACCCCTTGTTTAATTTTGTTACGAAATTCGACGTATGCAGATACGTTTGAGACTTCAAAGTGCGGCAATAATATTCAGTTTATCAGGAGAATTGTTCCAGAGCTTTACTTATACATAAGAAAAAACAACAACAATGTTCCAATGCAAATGCTTAAAATTTAGAATGAGACCTGACGATGAAAAAGGATATTTATATATTTAAAATCTTAGCCTGTGATTTAGGCGTTGATATTTTGCTTATTCATAGTAT